ACTGTTTTGTAGTCTTAATCTGCAGAGAAGCCGTGCTCTTAACTATAGTCTTCACTTCTAAGCTACCTTTTGCCTTTCACAACCTTTGAAGCGGCCGAATTACCACACAATGCGTTCGAATTTAGGAGCAGGATTCACGTGATGTTATCGAAAAAGAAGAAAAGATTGTTGAAGAGTGTCTCTCCCCAGCGAAAGAAATCGAGGAGTATTCCTTTTGTGAGCATTGCCATTTTTAACATAGTTAATTACAAAGTAACAGATGTGGGATAGCGCACTTTGCTCAACCGTAGAGACTGTTCAGGAACGCCATGAGGAAATGCACCGAGACGTCGAAACAACAAGTATTCGGGAGCGAGCCGGGTGAGTTTAGAAAGCTTAGAAGAGCTTCATCTTTTGTGCAGTTGCTTGCTCCCTGAGCAGCAACGCGTAGTTTGTGTTGCTCCTTCTTCGCAATAGAATCTACGCGAACTTAAAGGCACACTGCGCGATCAAAGCATGTGATTATTTCTTGTGCCTTACCTTTAGTGTGTGTATGTGTCCTTAGTCTTTTTTTAGTGCGACTCCTACTCCATTCGAAGTTTGTTCATACCGTCCTCCAGCAACTGCCGAAGATGCTATAAGCGGAGAAGTTTTGGTCGAAAGAACGTCAACTGAAGAAAGGCCTCCGATACCGTGCCCACGCTGTGAAGGGGAAGAGCACATCAAATCCGAAACGCCTTTACTTGACCGTACCATCTACTATGAACGGGAAGTTGTTCAAGGCGAAAAGACTCCGGAAAGAGCAAGCAGACATCCGTCTCGTCAGACTCTCGACATTGACGAGGAGATCGCTCACGCAAATCGAAAAGTGGATAGTAAACTTCAAGAATACGCTGCGCCCCCACCTCGTAGCCCTCAGCCCTCGATACAGAGCTCCGTTCAGGAAAGAAGAGTGGAAGAACGGCGAAGCCTTGAAGAGAAGATGTCCTCAAAAAAGGAGCACATCACAAAATCTGAGCGTTTCTTGGAGGCACCGAAAGCACATTCGGAGAAAAGAGGATCATTCATAACAGCCGAAGCTGGGGATGCGCAAAGGTCGAGGGATTCAAGTTTCGAACACAAGAAGTATGAACGCACTTCTTATGGTATGCCATATAAAAATTGATGAGTTAATTTACTGTAAGTTGTACATTTTCATGTGCAGGTTTTGGAGACTGGTTCCAAAAATCTGACTCACACACCATGCACCCTCACACACCTGGTTGAAATAAGATAGGCGGATAAATCATTTGCGCGTTATCCCTTTAGATGGCCACGTATTCTACTTCTCTTCCGAGTGGCCTACTAAAGTGATGGTGAACTACACAAGGCTTCAGCAGCGTTGTTAAACTCTTGTGTTTTTATCTCAAGACAAGTCTTGTTTGAACTAACCGATTAGCGACGCAGGTGAAGCGATGGTTGTCTGTGCGCACGATGGTCCAGGTTTTCGATCTTTGAACTGCAATGGTAAACAGCGCCACTTGCCTGTACATCACTCACTTGGGATCAAAAAAGATCCCTACTATATATAATGCGCCATGTCTGTGTCTAATGTGTGTGTCTGACTGTCCGTCTGTCACGAAATTCGGTACTACCTGATGAACCAACATGAAGTTTAGGTGTGTGCAGATATAGGATAATGAAGTAGCAAATTATATATAATCAGTTGGTGCCGCTCCGCACACCTGGCGGGGTCCCACAACCTCATATCGGTTGTACTTCAATGTATCAGGCTCGGTTGCGACGGCAAAAGTGTGTAGTGCGGTTATAGAACAGCCCTGTCGTGGTTCGGGAGCGGTCGCCCTCCTAACCCTCCAAACACGACGCATCGAGGTGGTTCGGGGCCCTCGCGGCCTTTCCCAGGCACACGTCATCCTACGGGTCCTTCCCGGGGACCACGCTGGTTTCCCTCCCAGCATGGCCTCCGCTCCCCGGGGCATCACGGGTTCCTAACCCAGGAAGGGGGTTTGAGGAAGTACAACCCGCGGGGGCAAGGCCCACCGTCGGCCCCAGGCTTTCCCAGCTCTGGAGCCGAGGGTTCCCCTGCCCCGGCTACAACCCCGCTGCAACAGCAGCACACAACAACTACTGCGCCTTAGTCGGGCCCCTGCCCTGGCGCTCCCCAAACTACAACCCTACTACAACAACTACAATTAAACATACTCACATTTATTGGCGGATATTGGCGGCAACAAGTTGACGACCTACTCTTCTTATCCTCTGCCGGGCTTGGAGGTACCAAGCCATCGCGTCGTCCATCCATCGGGTCGTCGGCGGTAAGTGGCGCACTGCTGGCGCCTGCAGCCGGCAGCGTCCATCCGGTGTAGCGGACGCTGGCTTGCCAGCGCTCCGACAGGACGGGACAGTATGCCGGACCATACTGCCGAGTGCCAGTGGCACTCCGAGCCGTCCAGCATCCTAGCGTTGCCCGGCACAACGCTCCTCCCGGAGGGAGCGAAGTGCGCCGACTGGCAGAGGCGGCTCGCTTAAGTAGTCCCGGCTGGAGGCGGGACCGGAGGCGGAGCATGCCCCTATAGTCGGTGCATGCAACGCCACGGCGCCTGCTGCACAGCAGTGCCCAAGCGCGCGGTGCGCCCGGGACCACAGTCGCGAACCGCGACATCCCCGTAGAGCGGAAATGGGTAGAGGTGTACACTGACTTAGTAAATCTAATAAGAGAGACCTTGCACGCGATAGGTGAAGCATTCTCTAACTTGGGCTGTGCTTAATAAAGTGAGCGAGTTTGTCATGAGGGACTAAAAAAGAAATCTTTGCGCCTGTTTTTCTTCCGTGTGATGCACGCGACTGCGTGGGCAGCCAAACTGGTAACGAATAAAAATCACGAAAGTTCAGTGCTTGAAAAAAAGCGCAGCCAGAAAGATAGACTTGTCCTGTACCACACCGGATGTAGCTGTTATTGTCAAAATGTGAAATGCAGGGACTCAATTTTCGTCAGCACTCATAGAGGACCATCGCCAAGATGTCCTCAAAGAATATAGTCCCTTGGACTTTCAAGAATATGGACACGTGGAAGTCAATGATCATGATGGCTGCAAAGCGATTCGCTTTCAATAATGCCCTCGGCCGAGAGTGGGAAATTGGTGGAAGAGCGTGGTGACAAGGTCACTCCAAACGCCATCGACGCCGAGTGACGCCATCAAAACCGCTCCGCCTTCCAGCCATCGTGCTCACTGTTTTACCGCCTACAATCAGATCTCGCTTGTGCTCTCTTGGACGTTCGACCGCGCTAGAGAGGCGAATAAGAAGTACGTGACATTACACAGCTTGTTCAGGGCACCGTCCCGTCCTGTTTCAGCTGCTCGAAGCACTCACTCAATTTCTGATCGCTCGAATCACAGCCAGGGCTATCGCCAAAGGTATTCGTTTTATGCCTTTATGAAGAAATTTAAGAATAACTAATCACAACACATGAGAGGGTTCATTCTGATAGCCGTGAGGACAGACTTCTTTTTGGGATTGTAGTCTCTGAAAGCAGAAAAATAAATGACGTAATATATATATAAAAATAAGTAGAAAATATAAATATACATATATAAATATTATAATATATATATATGAATATGTATGAAATATAAAAGTGAGCATAAAGAAGAATCAGAAAAATTGACGTTTCGCAGGGGCGCACGCGCCAAAGGATGCAACAGTTTGTTCTGACCCAATTTCGCCGATAACTATAGATATGGAAGATCAAACGCCTGGTCAAGAATGAGGACAGTTCAGACCCTTTCGTGTAATACCACTTTTGCGTCATGGGCAAAATTTGGCACCACAAAGGCCCCGGCAAAAAAAGAAAATCGTTTGTGATCAGGCACTAATGTAAGCATACCACTCGTCGTTTCAAATAACGAGAAAGATGTCGAGTGGCAGCCATACACACAGTGACGATGGCTCTCCAATAAATCTGCATAGCTGATTCTTGGTAACCCTGATAGAATATGTACGACTGCAACAGGCTAATCATTTCATTGGCAGAGAACATTGACATTTGTGAGGAAGCCGTCGTCACTCGTGGTGTATGGTCTGCACCCGTTATTTGAAAGAGAGGGCACCCCTCTAGTCAAAGTTTTTTGGTCTTTTGCGGTGATGGTGCAGAGGCCAGGGGTTGCAGTAGTTGGTAGTACCTATGTATATGAGATGAAGCTTTTGATTTTCTGAGGAAAAACGTAGAATGGAAACCAATTAAAAAATAGAAGACCTTCTCGCATTTCAGACTCAATAATAGTACTTCCAGGAGGCGGACTACGCAGGTTTTGCGCCGCAACTAGTTTGAAGTTACTGGAGGGTAAGATGGTACTTGGTAGGCACACATTAATTTTTGAAAGGCACCGGTCGATTTTTGGAGTGCCTAGTGCCACATTCAAATGTATTTACTATTAATGTCGTGTAGCATCACAGAGAGAAGGGGCCGTATTTAGGATTTCCCATGCTTAGCCCTGGTCCGCAAGGTCGGTCTCTTGATTGACACCAGAAGAATTGAGCAAGGTCAGCAGGGTTTATAGAACGGTTGACAGCCTGGGCTTGCAGGTGGGGGGGGGGGGTTCAGACCGTATGAGGGATGGTATCTAACGATAGCCAACCAGGCTTACCATCATATGAATTTGAAAATTTCCTTGATAGTCCAACTTCTACGACTTTTTCAGTAGCGCCGTTCGCGAACATGAAAAAACTATGATGCAAGAACGAAAAACGGTGCGGGACGTTCCCATTTACACTTTAGCACCACCTCGTCGAGATGAGCCACCACCTCGCCGCAGTTCCACCCAGGTAAAATATTTTCTGGCTCTCTATAAATCCTTCCAATTGCATTCACTCAGAAGGCTCCACCACCAAGCCGCAAGGACGTTTGTGGAGAGCGTCGTCCCCCAATCACTGAAATCATAACAACAGAGAGATTCGAGCGAATCGAAAGAGTTCGACGACGATACCCTGTCACGCCCGTTTAGTATCATCGATCCTGCCATCCAAAAACAGCTCTGCTTCTTTGCTGCATGGGAACGCTTCGAACATCGATCTTTCTTAGAGTGAATAAATGTTGTCAGTGAAGTGATTTGATCGGTATTCTTAGGACTTGCAGTGATATACTTTTTCAAAGCCTATTTGATCTACAGATCCACTCTCAAAAGTCAGACGTTCCACCTTTTACTAACCATAAGATTAACGCTACAATTCATATAGTAAATATTCGTGTCATATATCAATATCGATCTATCGATTTTTAATAATATTACCGTACACTCACCTTACCCTACAGCCTAGAAACTAAGCTGACCCGTCAGCTTCAACAACACTGAACCCCTTCATCCAATTCCCACATTCGTGTCTATCTTTCAAATGAGTCACGCCTGTTTGAGCTCAACCTGCAAAATATCAGCAACATGCAAAGAAAGCTTTTCTGCTTGAAGAACTGCTCAAAAATGTTTTTTACAGTGAACAGCAGACTCAACCAAAAAACTCACCAAGTCTAGTGTCAGAGTTCGCTATCAGTCACGCTATTCGCGCGACTGGCAAGCAGTCAACCCGTGCGTTGCGCAGTTCGCAACGGCACGTTGAGAGATCCTCAACGCACGCTGTATGGGCGGAGACACAGACGGCTCGAGCATGCGAGTGTGAATGTTCGCGCGAGAGAACGTGTCTAATCGGGCGAAACTGCGCAACGTGGCCGTTGAAAACTGCGCAACGCAGGGTTGACTCTGCTGAGAATCCACATAATAAGAATTTGATATA